CGCCTCAATGGTAATAATTTTAAAATCAATACAATTCAATAAAGTTTTATTACTAACGCTGACAAGGGTGGCGAGTTGCGAGCTGCGGACTTGCCTCTTTCATTTATCCGCCGAATCCGTTGAGTGTGGCATGCTCGGGGAATTGTTGGGGTTAAGTCCGCTGAGCTCTTAACCCACGACTGCCGGCGAAAAGAAGAGGAGCTCCACCTGCTGCTGCTGTCGCCGCGTCGCAATTGCTGGCAATTAGAATACGTTTTATAAGCAAATTGCCAGCGAACTTATGCGTCAAAGTCCAACGCCCATTTGTATGCAAATGGCGAGCCAGCACTGCGAAAAAATGGATGACTAAAGTTTACATGCAAAAATTCGAAAATCCTGGAGGGTGGCTCAAAAATAATACAATATTTTTTGAAAAAAAATTTAAAAAAATAAAAAATTATAATAATAAACACCAAAATAATTCAATGACAGATGGCAAAAAAAATTATTCATATGAAATGTAAAAATACACCAATAATATCATGTAAACTAAATTATTCATCTGAACGATACTATCGATATTAATGCCAAAAAAAATCAATATTTGTAAAATTTGTAGGACAAGAACATTTGTACCCAATAGTAGGTGAATTACTTGGTTTGCCCGATTTCTTTGGCAGTGCAGGTCAGCGGCTGTCGCAGGCTCCCAGCCACTTTCCCTCCTGATGAATCAAAGTCATAACGTGGCTCAAATGCCGCGCCACGCCCCCTCTCCGCTGTCGACGGTTACGCATCGTTATGCACAGCGGCAGCGGATGACTGTTATTAAAATCAGTTGTTCGGGGGAACAGTCTTCTTTCGGGCAGACAGACAGGACTTGCTGGAGATGGGATGGATCGAGGACGGAGGATTTGGCACAGCTGTGCCAGCCCCAACTTCATTATAAGCCAAGGGGCGGGGGACAGTGCGACGCATTCGTTTAATGTCTTAATTCTGCACTCAGCCAAGTGAAAAATTAAAATGGTGTGGCTCCTTTGTTCGAGCTGAATCCTCATCAGTTACAGCAGCAGCAGCGCCAGGTGAAATGGGGTCCACTTATTTTTGCAGAGGGCCCAGCAGTCATAAGTCTAATGTCTGCCTTGTTTAAATATTAATAAAGTCCGTGGAGTGGCCTCGGCCTTAGCCACAAATTGTTAAATTGAAGCTAATAAAATTTGGCTATTACGCGTGGCCAGTGTCCATTTTATGGGCCACAAATTTCATGGCGATTAACTGTGATGGCGGTGGATGCATCAAAACCCGAGCCCGCCGGTTCGACTTCATTGCGTAATTGTGGCCAAACACTTTGGGGCAAAAGAACAATGGAGCTTGGAAATATTTAAAAAGAGCCAACGCAAAAATGCGCGAATAGAAATAAAGTAAAAATTAAAGCGCGCAAAATGCAAATATGCGGTAAAAGAGGCGTTGGGGAGGAGGAGGATGAGGGGGCGTGGCCGTTTGGGTGGTAAATGGTGAATGGGCGGTTGGCTCAGCGAAGCGTTTGTGCAAATTATGGTTTAACACCTCATTGAACTCGCTGCCAGGATGCCAAGGGGAGAAGCTAGAGCTGCGAAAATTTGAATTTGAATATGAATTTTATATTCAAATGAGTTTTCAAAGACTTTGTGTGGCGCCAAACGGGGAATAGAGTTAATTATATAAAAATTATGGCTTATTGTTTCATTTTTGCCTTGCCTTGCCCAAAATATGTAAATTGGCCGCACAAAATGGCATTTAATTTGAGACCACATCAAAGCGATTAGGGCTGAGCTGGATGAAAAGCAATGCATAGATTAAATTAAAGAGCTAAGAAAACTCAACGAAAAATTAAAAAGTTAAGAAGGGCTTTTCCTTGACAATATTGAATTACAATAATGATTACAATCAACAATCCATTTTATTTCTTTGTATGTCCTGTTAATGCTAAAATTATAATGCTACGTTAAATGAATATTAGTTTGGTGATATAAAAGAGTAATTATTCTAGAAGAAAAGTAAATGAAATTACTTTTAAAGTGTTCTTACATTTTTTTCAACATTTTATATGAATAATTTTTTTTTGCCATCTGTCATTGAAATATTTTGTGTTTATTATTATAATTTTTTATTTTTTTAAATTTTTTTCCAAGTTCCTTAAAGATTTTCCCCAAAGTGCAATGCAATTTCCCCCAAGATTAACCAATCGATTAATCAGCCTTAAGCCTTAAGCCACGCCCCCTCACTTTCGGAGCGATTGTTTTGCGGCTGGTGTGCATATGTAAAACCTAATTACAACTAATTAGTATTTGCACAAGTGACAACCTTTGACCCAATGTAAACAATGGCGGGCAGTCAACAAGCCAAACAAAACCGAACAGCCGAATAGCCGAGCGCAGCAGGATCCAAAGGAGTGGCAGCCTCCGCCGCCCATGACCAAATGCAAATAAACAAAACGCTTTGATTAGAAAATTTCATTACACCAAATCGAACGTTTGCCCATGGCACACACACGCACAAATGCAAATACAATCAGTGCCAAGGCAAACAAATAAATGCACAAAGGGCCAGATTCGGGCCGAATGCAGCTGCAGTTGGCCAAATGCATCAGTTCATTAAAATGCCAATGCCCCCTGCCAAAGTTCCTGTTTCTGCTGCTGCTTCTGCTGCTGCATCCCTTCAGTTTGTGTCCCATTTGAAAAACGCAATTTAATAACGACTGCAAATGAGCAACGCTTTGGCCAGGACTGCTAGTCCTGTCCAAAATCCGGCCCAATGGGTGTCCTGCGTTTGTGTCAAATTTTATGGCCCAAAGGCGCATATCAAATGAAATCGACAGGCTCGTCCCCAGCTATTGTTTGTTTGCATGGATGCACTGAGAAAAATATATTGTAGAGGTGCATCAAATAAAATTAACATTAAAATGTTCTTTATTTCAATTAATGTTGAAACTAGCTTTTTGAATTTTGTATTTATTACCTAAATTTAAAAAATGTTTTATCACAATAAAAAAATAAATAACATTAAATTAAATTTAAATATTTTTACTTCTTATACAAAAATAGTGTTGGTAAAGAAATCGATAGCTCTTTCGATACCATCGATGGTTTTAAAATTTAGGAAACATCGTGGTTATATATATTATAGCTAAAAAATCATTTTATTTTACATGTAATTTTTGGTATATTTTAAGATTTAATGTCCACTATCGATGTTTTAACAACCCAATAAAAATAATGGCTAAGAAATGAAGTCGATTGCGAATTTAATAATTTTTTGCTGTGTGTGTTTAAACCAAATCTGTTGCAGTTGCAAGCTGCACAAGGATTCAACTCAATTTATTAATGCATCCCATGCAACCATGCAACCTCTGATTTACAAGCTAAGTTGGTGGGGTTGCATTCACAGAGGATATCGAGGGGAGTTGCATCACCATGGGAGCAAATGACGACTGATCATTGTGCGATGGTGCAAGCTTGGTGTCCCGCAATTTTGCAGCTCCTTGGAGATTTCCGCCACAAATCACGGCTTAGATGCGTTGTGGCCCAGAGGCGATACCATATTTCATCGGCGGGTGCACCAGGTGGCCGCAAATATTTTAACACTCAATTAAAATTGCAATGCAAATAATTGCAGCGCATTTAAAGGCTAACGCCGCGCCCTTTTGCACACACATTTAATGCATTTTTGTGGTAATGGCAGCAAATTAAGCGGAAATTACATGGCCGCCGAGATATCGATACCCGCCGCCTGGCAGCCAGTTGAGCGTGCCACGATGCACGTTGCTCAAATTATGCTGATTTATATATAATTTCTGTGTAATTTCATTAAGGAATGCAAATTGCACATTAAATGCTATAAATATTGATAAATGAATGCGAACCATTTACGGGAATTCCAACGAAGTGGAGCAAGCGAAGTGCAGAAACAAACACTTTTGTTGCCTCTTCCATTTAACATGAAAATGTTCTGAAATAAGCATGGTATTATTTTTAATTTTAATTTATGGGACTCACGCTTTTAATTATTTTTTATTTTTTGTATCTGCGAATGTTTAAAAATTATTATTTAATTAAAACATTTTTGTAGGTGCTCACACAAAAGTGTTGTATGCTATTTGATTAAGTAACTAATTTTATTAAACTCCCCTTTGATTTCAAAACAGCATTCGTTTGGACGCTTCACTTCATGTACATTAGGGTGGACTTCTTTAAGGTCAACTGAGCTCAGCATCTTAAATGGTAGGTTTCTGTGTCCAATAAATTTATGCGAAAACAGAAAAATTTTATTTCATCGTTTAGGCGGTGCGCAATGGCCCTAAAGTTTCGCTAAAAATTAAGTGTAAAACTAGGAATTTACCCCATTTCATTTCTTGTCAGATTTTAACATGTCAACTTTTTGGTTTCGCTCAAATAACAGAGTCAAGTAGAAGTTTATTTCAGGAATATTAACAGTTGGACGTAGCCTAGCCAGTAGAGCTTCTGTCTCCGAACAAATAGGACCGAGTTCGATCCCCGGCTCACCATTTATTTTTATGACTCACAATAAAATAGAGATTCTATTTTACAATTTTGAAGATTAACTATCACTTTTGCGTTCGCCAATAAAAATTTTCGTCAAAGGATACAACGATATTGACTCTTATTTTTCACAGACCGTAATATTTATAAGTTGTACTCTAAAAGTCCTTGATTATTCGTTATTATTGTTATTTTTAAGTTGTAATTGTCTCTTAGGGACTCGAATTTTATCAACAACTTCATCCATTGTTAAAAAGCTCTGGAAAGTGATTAAGATACTTTTTAAAATACTGTCAAAGTATAAAATTAAGTTTACGGCATCTAGATGAATCTGAAATATGCGTTATAAACTTTAAGCCCGTTGCGCACCGCCTAGAACTAATTATTTTTTACTTTTTCTTTTTTTAATGGATTAAGGATACAAAAAGGCTATATATGAAGGGGTGAAAGCATGGCCTTAGAAATTTCATACAAAATAAGTCCACCCTAATGTACATCGTGTGCTGTGAACTTGTATCGAAGAGTATAGCGACCGTTCTTCAAAGGAAATCCACTACCGAATACAAAATTTACCGTATAGGTTTCGAATATGATTCGTGTCTGTGAAAAATGTGTTTTGAAAAATGAGAGTAAAGCTATTATAAAGTTTCTTACCCCTTTTACTCTGAAACATTTTTCTTTCACCTCTGCGCTGTTTTTTATATTCTTAGAGAAACTTTCGTACCACAACTGATTTTTGTCAAACATGACTTTGCAAAAGTCTTTAACCAGCAAGTTAAGCGTGGTTGGTTGCCAGCTCCCGCGTTCGTAGTACAGTACGTTTGCAGCAAGCTGAAAATGTAGTTCTTAATTTGTGAGTACATGAGGTAAAACTGTTTTGTATTCACCTGAACTCTGTCAGTTGGCTGGATATCCCAAATAACCGTTGCGTTTCCCGAAAGTGTCACTCCAGTTTCACTCATGTCGAAGGCAATACTCGTAAAATTTAATAAACCATTAACATCTAGAGTTTCCGGTAGCTTTTCCATGCATTTAGTAAAAATACGCTCATCCTCCAAAATAAACTGGTATTTAATTTCTATCGAGTTTTGAATACGTTCCAAAAGGATCAGGAACTGCCAAATTTTAAATAGTCCTCTATTCATCTTAGATTTGGTTTGCACTGCAAGGTTCAGCCACTTCGAAGACTTTATTTATATAGATTTACCTATGCTAGTTTAATTGTTATAATTAATTCGGAACAACCGAACAAGCTTCCGGTAGTCTAATCTATGAGAAATACATGTATAATTATCCAAAAAAGTTTGCTTTAATTGTGCACTTTTATGAACATATTTGTGATTTATGACTTATAATTAAAGTAATTTAAAAGAGACTGACAATTCATGAAAAAAAAGGTAGATAGATAGCTTCGGCCAGCCGTAGTTTATATACCCTTACATATACCAACATTATAGCCGTTTTCGAAATATTTTTACATGCCACCTATATTGTGAAGTTGTCCGATTTTCGTAAAAATTTAGTTTGAGATTCTGAGATATTAAAAAATTTATATCCCAGAGTGGATCAGAATACAATTATAATCAACGTATCCATAATTATTTCCTATTAATTTTTTGTTCAGATTTTTTGGACAGACGGACTTGTCCGTTTTTACCCAAACCAGTCTCTCAGTTTTAAAGCTATCGGGCTGAAACTGAGTCGGTACCATCCGGATCGGACCACTATATCTTAAATCTCCCATAGGAATAATCCAAAAAATAATAGAAAAGACATTGTATCTTTGTGGTAAGTAGGCGTTTTAATTAAAATATAAGTATATATTTTAACTGCAAGGGTATATAAACCTTGGCTTGCCGAAGCTAACTTCCTTTCCTGTTTAAACTCTCCCTTGACCTCAAACTAAATGTTTGTTTTTGCGCACTACTCCATTTTGATCGTGCGCTGAGTGGATAATAGCATTGAATAGCAACCACCTTTTTATGACATTCCGATCGAAAATTCCGGATGTACGGTATTTGTTTCGATTTTAAGACTGTGCCGGGAAAATAAGTTTGAAGTAATGTCAAACTTTTTTTGTGGTTTACTACACCAGTCAGCACCTCAAACTATTAATATCGAGGGCGGTGGTTTATTTTGTTTGTTACAGCCATATATATTTATAATTCAGTTATTAATTTTAATAAACTCCCCTTTGATTTCATAACAGCCTTCGATTGGACGTTTCACCTCATTTTCATCGTATGCTTTATACATAAAAATAATCGCATAGCGACCGTTCTTTAAAGGAAATCCACAACTAAATACAAAATCCACTGTATAGGTTTCAAATATAATTTGTGACTGAAAATAAAAAATTGTTCTGGAAAATATTGGGAAATCTATAATAAGGTTTCTTACCCCTTTCACTCTGAAGCAGGTTTCCTTCACATCTGCACTGTTTGTTATATGCTTAGTGAAACTTTCGTACCACAACTGATTTTTGTCAAACATGACTTTGCAAAAGTCTTTAACAATCATGTTAAGCGTGGTTGCTTGCCAACTACCTCGATCGTAGTACAAAACGTTTACAGTAACCTAAAATAGTTGTTTTCAATTCCTAAGTACCTTAGGGGAAATTCTTTTGTAGTCACCTCAACTCGGTCAGTTGGCTGGATATCCCACATAACCGTAATGTTTCCCGAAAATGTCACTCCAGTTTCACTCATGTCGAAGGCAGCATCCGTAAAGTTAAATAAACCATTAGCATCGAGTGTTTCCGGTGGTTTGTCCTTGCATTTACTTAAAATGCGCTCATCCTCCAAAATAAATTTGTATTTAATTTCCAAGGAGTTTTGTATATGTGCCGAAAGGATCAGGAGTTGCCAAGTTTTAAATAGACCTCGATTCATCTTAGGTTTGGTTATTACTGCAAAGTGCAGCCCCTTTTTAAAGGCTTTTTTTATAGATTTACCAGTGTTAGCTTAATTGTTATATTTAATTGGGAATATCTGAACTAATTTCCGGTAGTCTAATTTATGAGCAATAAATGTATAATTATCTATTACAGTTCGCTTAGATAATTATAATTATATATTAAGTAATTTGAAATATGGCTGATAACTCATGAAAAAATAACGTTTGAATGCCATTAAATGTTTTTGTGGGTGGACTTGACTGTATTTAAAAATTTAATTAAACTTTTAAAAAACCAACTTACCAACTACACACAAAAAAAAAAACTAAGTAAAATTAACATAGAAAAATAGTATTATACTATTTTCTGAATTTTTCATGTATTTTGTTGTTTTATTTTTTGGGTCATTTAACAATTAAAATAGTAGAAAACCTATTTACGAAATATGCATGTATTTTGTTGTTTTATTCATTTGGCAAGTTAATAGTAACGTCTCAATTAATATCGTAGCAAAACTATTTTATTTGTTTGCATGTATTTTGTTGTTTTATTTTTTGGGGCATTAAATAGTAACATAACATATATATTTTGTTGTTTTAAAAATACGATTATAAATTGTATGTCAACTATTTTTCTGTACTTAGGGTGGTTAGAGTATCCGACTCATAATCTCTGGGTCGTGAGTTCAAATACCGCTTCTGCAGATGATGTTTTTCTTTTTTTTTTCTATAGATTTTCCTATACGAAAATCATTCTTCTGTGGCCTAGTGGTTAGAGTGCTCGACTCCGATGGTTGCGGCCCCGGTTCGAATTCCAGCGAAGGCAAAAAACCTGATTTGTAAGTTTAAGTATCTGTGAAATGTAAGTGTCTATACAACAAATTGAACTAAAAACAAAAAAAGTTAAAAACATAAATTAAAAAAAACAACTATTTTTTTCGGGTTAAATACTATTGTAGGGATATGATATATGTCCCTATTAATGAAATACCACACAGTAGAATATATGTTTACACAAAATAGTTTATAGTTTTATTATTATTTTATTTCACAAGTTTTATCTGGTCAGGATCACTGCTGGCATTCAACTAACTTCGCTCTCAGCTCACGACTCGCACCAACCCCCGACTCTCTGAGAGAGTGAGTGTGGTGAGATCGCAAGAGAGAGAGTAAGCTCTACAACAACAACAACGTACTCTAAGAATATTCAGGAATGTTCTAGAAGGAACCCTGTAGTTCGGCGGGACTGGTCCCGAACTAGCGAAATCGCCATACACCGGGGGCTTGGGACTAACTCCCGTTCATACCACCCGCAATATAAATTTCTATCCACTTTTACCACGGCATGTCCTAGGCGGTGGTCATATGGCGAAGTTCTGCATTACCTTTCGCCACAAAAGGGACCGATAGGTGGTCCCATATTATACCCCTTTTCGCCACAAAAGGGGCCACCTATCGGACCATCTATCGGACCACCTATCGGTCCCTTGTGTGGCGAAAAGGGGTATTAAATGGGACCACCTATCGGTCCCTTTTGTGGCGAAAAGGGGTATGAAATGGGGTTGGTGTTTTCAATACCAAAAAAGCTGAATGCTATGAAACTTCCCAAGAAAAAATACTTTTTGTTAAATTAATTTATTGTATTATAAGTAGACAATTTTTCTATTTTTTTTAATTTATATTTATTGAACAAATTCCTCTGCTGACACGTTTTTGTTGAGTTCCTCATTGTTGTTATTATTTGATTTGGATTTATTTTAAAAAAATCGTTTCTTTTGCAATTGAATTGCCTTGGGAATCAATATTTCTGCATTACCAGATTCTGAAACAATATCTAAAAAAAATAAGATTTTAGTGTTTTAAAATAAAATGAGAACAGAAACTAACTATGGCAAGCCAAAGTTTTAATACCCTTGCAGCTTTCAGAAATAAAATTGTGACTAGAAAAGCATAAATATAAAATAAGAATAACCAACAGTTAAATGTAGACTTATTTCACGCTTTTGAAACTTGAACCGACAGACAGACGGACATGGTTAAATGGATTTACTTTATAGGTTTGAAAAGGTCTCCTTTACTGCGTAACCAACTTCTGGACTAAATTATAATTCCCTCTGCATGGGTTTAAATATATATTTTTAGATTTTGTTATACAAGCCTGTTTACATCAAACCATGTTTTAAAAGTGAAAAGCAGAAAAAGACAGAAAGAAATAGGATTAAAGACAGATGGCATTCTAAGTAAATAGATTGAAATTGAATCAAGAAACTAAGTGTATTATAAAAAATACAGTTATAAAAATAACCTACCGTGAAGTGCACCATAGAAATGTGTAAAGGAGTTTACGGCTTTTTTTTCCAGAAAGGCCTTTAACATTAAATCCCACAACAAACTCATCCGTGAGAACCCTCCGCAAGTTTTTTAAACCCCCTTCTGGCAGCAACAACGATCTCATGGCTTTAATCTAAAAAGGAAGAAAATTTCACTAAAATATTTATATCAAAAGAAAAAAGACTTACGTAGGAGTCCTTTGCATCACTATTTCTTCTTCTCCTCTTTAACAAATCGACGAATGTGCCTGTTGCTGTTCATGGCTAAATATCACACATTATTAGGTATTTCACTTGCACAACTCATGGTGTTACTCACCTGTTGACGACACTTCAGATCACAACAAAATATAACACTTTAAATGTACAATAAGACAAATTAAATACAATGTTTACAAAATTTGGCGCAAACGTTGGGTTAGTGATGGTAGCGAGGTTGGGTAGTTATGGCAATCCGTTACGATTAATATTGCGACTACCGATATCGTATAATCGATGGCAATAAAAACATTCGCTAATATTATTTTTGTTTAGTTCTATGTATATAAAATTAGGTACTTATATATTTATTTTATATATCTAAGCACCAATAAAATCCGCTTGTTATGGAAGGAAAGAAAACGTTTTGCTACTGAACCACCGCTATTGTTAAAAATATTGCTGCAGCTAAATTGCTCATTATTAAATATAAATAATATAAAAAGAAATAAAATTCTATCATTTATTATTTTATTTTATCTCATTATTAAGTTTTTATTTTATTATTTTAACTTTTTTTAAATTTGTTTTTTATATAAACAAAATAAAGTTGTATTCGTTATTAAAATCATTATATACTTGTCAAAAATTTCATTTTACAATTTTTTTAACTCATATAGAAGTGTTCACTCTCCGATAACTCTTTTGCTCTTGTAAAAAATACACACGCCACCTATTGACCCTTAAGGGACCACTGGGTGGTCGATCCCTTTTCTACCCCGAAAGTGCCACCGGCCCCCTTGAGAACTACAGGGAATACAATAACTTATACATACATACATACTACTACGTAGCCATCCTGCTACACTATTTTATAGGTAATCTACTATTTTTTGGGGCATTTTCTATTTTTTATGGGTTGGGACAGTTTTCACTATTAAATAGTTTATTTTACATAATTTTTTTTTTTTTGTGTAGCCATAAGGTTAAATATACAAAAAATACAAAAAGCTACAAAAGTAGGAACTTATCGTAGGAACTTGTCGTGATTGTATGTTATACATGTATTAGAAATGCATTTACGTCCTCAAAACGTAAATTTAAATAAGTAAAACAAGATTTTTCAAACAACTTTGTTATGAAAGGAAGCTTTATTTGATCAGATTTTATTGACTTGATTTTTTAAACTCTCCCTTGATCTCAAAGCATATTTTGTTTGGGCGCACTACTCCATTTTGATCGTACGCTGAGTGGATAAAACGCATTGAATGGCGACCATTTTTTATTGACACTCCGCTTGAGATTACCGCATGTACGGTATATCTTTCGAATTGTATTTGAGACTGTAACGTAAAATTAAGTGGTAAGCAATGCCAAATTTTTAACGACTTTACTTACTCCTCTTACGTTGTAACAAGTCCTGTTCACTTCTGCAGCATTTAGTATGTGTTTACTATAGCAGTCGTACCACATCTGCTTCTCGTCGAACATCACCTTGCAGAAGTCTTTGATCACCATATTAAGTATGGTCGGTTGCCAGCTACCGCGATCGTAGTACTGCACACTAACAGCAACCTAAAAACGTAGTTTTTAATATCTGAGTACCTTAAGAAAAATTTTTTTGTATTCACCTCAACTCGGTCAGTTGGCTGGATATCCCAAATAACCGTTGTGTATCCCGAAATAGTCACACCATCTTCACTCATATCGAAGCCAGTATTACTGAAATCATATAAACTGCTAATATCAAGGGTTCCCGGTGGTTTTTCCCTGCAATCACTAAAAATACGCTCATCCTCAAAAAGAAAATCGAATTTAGCTTCCATGGAGCTGTGTATACGTTGCAAAAGGATCAGCAGTTTCAAAATTTTAAGTAGAGCTCGATTCATCTTAGGTTTGGTAAGGGAATTAATTGAAATGGGAAATGCCGCCACTTTAAAGGCTATTTATATATCATTCCAAATCATATTAAATTTTAGTTTAATTATTATTATTAATTAGACACTTCCGGTGGTGGCAAACTTCAAATTATACTTCTGTTCTAGTTATGTAAACATTGATTTGGCGTCGATTAGAATCTGTTAATTATATGCCTAAAGAAGTTCACTATGTAATTGAGCATTACTGGAACGTATTTGTGATTTAGGACCTATTACTTTAATAATTTCAGAGCAGACGTTGTTACTTGCATGTTTTATATACATTTTTGGCACATATGAGCAGTACTAGACTTTTTAATTCTGAAATACGTACTTCTAAGATTGTAACACATATCAAATTAAATTCGCCGATCGCGAAAACTATAAAAGATAAATGGTTCGAATAAACCATGCAGATTCTTGGCGATTCTACGGAAGTTTGTTTGTATTTGCTGCTTGCATACTTATCTCAATAACTCTCACACTTATTTAACTTCAATAAAGAAAAAAAACGTATTCAACTGAGGAACGGGTATTTGATAGTCGAGGTTCTTAGCGACTAGCGACTGTTGCGTTCTCTCTTGTTTTTAATAAAAGTAAGGTTTCATTATTACGAATTAAAATTTATTAAAATCGGCGACTTTACTTTATACACTTTTTGAAGCAAAGCGTAAATGAAGTTCGGCATTATGTTTAGATCTTATAAAATTTCCCTTTAATTTCGTAGCAGACGTCATGTGGACGTTTCTTGCCCGATTGGTCATAGGCAAATATCCGAATCCGAAGGGTGTGACGACCAGAAAATAATGGCATGCCACTACCAAAGAATAGATCCACCGTGTATGTTTCCATTAAAAATAAGGTCTGAAAGGCAAAAGAAAATTATAGAAAAATAATAATGTTATGCAAATACGTTTCCTACACCGTAGACTTTAATACAATGATCCTCAATGGCTTCTTTATTCCTTATGTGGGAAGACCACGCTTCGTACCACAGCTGCTTTTTATCGTACATCACCTTACAAAAGTCCTTTACTATCATATTGAGCGTGGTCGGCAGCCAGATACCTCGATCAAAGTATAACAAGTTCGCAGTTACCTAAAACACAAAAATTATAATTAATGCTTTGGGTTTGGAACATGCCTGTAGCAAAAACCTCAATGCGATCCAATGGCTGGGCATTAAAAACCGATGTCATGTTTCCCGACAGTGCAATTCCTTCTGGGTTCATGATCCTTTTCAGATTGGTCATATCAAACAACCCGTTTATATTGCGGGTTTCAGGTGGAACGTCGCTGCAGTCACTGTAAATTGATTCGTCCTCGAATTCAAATTCGTATTTAATTTGCATTGATGAGTTGATCACATCGAAAATGATAATTAGTAGCTCCCATTTCCAAAGCAGACAGCGCTTCATGTTGCGGTTAGTCCTCGAAACAGCGTCCGTTTTCAACGCGAGTTGGCTTTTATGGTAGATTTTTTTCGTTTCGTAACAGATTGAGATTGGATTATAACACGTTGTTTCCGAGTGTATGATTAACAAACGTGTAATTTGTACTCCTATTAATTAGCAATGAATACCATCATTTTGTAAAAGTGTGAGTTTCATGTATATTTATTATTTCATTTTTATTTTAAGATTAATCTAAATGAAAATTTTAATTATAGGATACAATCCATATAGGAGGTATTTTGTTGTGATGCTTTTGGTATGACATCAAAACCACTTCCGAACTTTGGATATGATCTGCGATATATCGCGATACCATCAAAAAATGGCCAAGAGCCCAACCCATCGATAGTGGTATGAATAAACAATGCCAATGACTTTCACGTTTATTATTTTGAATTTGTAATATTTTAACCACTTTTTAACAGGGACCGAAAATAATGATTATTTTTTTTGAGTAAAAAATAAAAATCTCCATTTAATGATTATTTTGTAAGCAAAAAAATATCGCTCAGAAATAATGATTATTTTGTGAGCGATATATTTCGCTCAAAATATCACTCAAAGTGGGATTGCATCCGTCCTACGCGGAATTTTACAAAGATTTAAATGTGCTCTTGTAGGTAGAACCACGGAGCACATATTCCGTTAAGAAAAATAAATTTTCTTTGTATAAACCGATTAAAAAACAAAAAAAATCTTTTGTATAAAAACACTCTCTGTGGGAATCGAACTCGTGCTTACAGCTCGGTGGACCAACACACTAACACCCAGCCCACATGTCGGGTTGGATCTAAGTGGAATAGTTCATAACATCTTGTTAAGTCGTTTTACTAATAAATAAATGACATAAAGTTCTAAGGTTGATACAACTTGTTGTATTTAAGCATACCTCATGTCAACTAAAAACCGCGTTTTAAAAAGTTTATACAAAGAAATCACCTTCTTTTATTAACTCGATGTGTGCTCCGTGGTTCTACCTACAAGCAGAAATTTAAAAGTTTGTAAAATACTGTACAGAACGGCTGTAATCGCACTTTGAGTGATATTTTTAAGCGAAATAATATCGCTCACATAATAATCATTATTTCTGAGCGATATTTTTTTCGCTTACAAAATAATTATTAAATGGAGATTTTTATTTTTTCACTTATAATGATTACGGTCCCTGCTTTTTAATAAGCATTATATAAGGGAACTCAAACTTCGGCTTGCTAAAGGTAGCATCTCACTGTAAACCCAAAGCTTTATTAACATATTCAACTATCAATAAATGATTACCGTAAAAGAATGTTGGCCACTCATCACTCCGGGGAGTCCTTGCCTAACTTATGTAGGGTAATCCCCGACTGACCTCAACTACCAACCGCTGAGCTTTAAACGGGGTGCAGAGCTTGTTAGCCTCGTTTTACACACTTCTGCATGGCGAGGCACATTCGGTGTTTTATAACTATTTGGCATTCGAGGCAGCCAGTCGCACCAGCCGTAGATAACGCCCCTTTCTCAACACTTTGAAAAAGTTTAAATATAAATTAAAAAGTTTTCCCATTTTTTGTTGCTGCCCTTGTTGTTGCAGCAACGTGGTTGGTGTTGTTGTTTTATTTGCTATGTATTTTATGTTCATGCAAAGTGAAAAGTTTGCCGGACGACATCGAACCCAGTGGCTTGTAGGTATGGGTATGGGTTTGGGTTTGGGAGGGAGAAGGGTTTTGGCCCGGCCGATCAGCCTAATGCCGCGGCAACTGTTTAGGCCATTTAATCCCTTACCAATTTCCGCACTTATTTCATTGCCTTCAGCCGGCAATTTATGCATTTCTTTGGCCATTGTCCGCCTCTGGTATTTGCAATACATTATTGCTGTCAGATGAAGTTGTCCTTTTGCAAAATTAATTGCATCCTTTTTGTGGGCGTGGGAGGCTGTGGGCTGTGGTCCTCAAACCACAGGCAGACTTCAAGGCTGGCATTGTTGTAATATTTTTGTTAGTAAAATGTGGTCAAACTTCGGCTGCCATAAAGGCGCAAACAACTCTCGGGGCTGCTGTGTTTGTTTGGGTGTGCCTGTAAGTTTGCGGACTGGGGCTCGCCGCAAACATCTGACCGTAATGCAAACGCATTTGCTGCGTGCCACGCTCAAAGCCAAAGCTAAAGCACATGGAACCCGAAAATGTTGACCATCTCCATTGCTACATCCAGCAGCAGGACTCCACCCCTCCTGCCGCCCCCTCCATCTGTTTGCCGATCGTTAGCCGGCTTTGAAAGGCATCGCATTTGGCTGCTTGCGGCTTGCTTGAGGCACTCAACCTTGGGCTGCAGCTCCGAGTGCAGCAAAAATCACTGAGTGTGTGTCCACTTGGCAAAAAATATATTTTTTAATAGGAATAATGTATAAATACCTCAAAAAATCAGATTATCAGAAATAATTAAAAAAGAATATTCTGAAACTTGAACAATGTCAAAAAGAATTAATTATTTATAATTATGAAATATTTAATATTTATAAATGGTTCGTTTAAAAAAAATGAACAAAATAAAATGGACCTTTTAATATAAATGGTAAAAGTGAAATATATTTTTCTTAATTAGTTGTTAATATTTATTAATCTTAAGCAAATTCTTATTTTTAATATTTTACTCTAATAGAAAGCAGCGTATTTTATTTAATATAGACTTTACATTAGAGCTTTAAATACCACTAATCTACAAAAATAAAATTTCTAAAATTTCCAAATGTTGTCCCCAAGTTTTTTCCAGTGTTCTACACTAAAAGTAATCTTTGACTGCGGCCATATATCTCCTTTGCAGCGGCTTTTACTTTGCTTTCGTTGGTCAAAAAAGGAAATTAAGTTCAATAAAAGGAACATTCGTAATTTATTAGGGTGAACCGAATGGCAACCAAGCTCCTCCATTTGGGCCATTCAATATTAAAGTTTTCGGCAAAAAACCCACTCACTTAGCGAGTGCGAACTGCCATGTTGCTCGTTTCAGTTTGATGGTACCGACGGAAAAGTTATCATTTTGACAAGTTCTTAATATGCAATTCCATTAAGCTGCAACCAAAGTTGAATCGCTCGGCTGTCCCACTTTGCGATGCCATTCATTCGTTCATTTATTCGCTCATTCAGTTTGCAGCGAATAAGGAGCGGAAAAATAGGGAGAAAGCATAATTGCATTTCGTGGACAATTAATTCCTTTTCTATTGCCCATTTCGTCGTAATTTAATTGCAAATTACTTCCCCTTTTATGTGTATTTGTAGACGTAATTGTAGCTTCATTTGCCTTCAGTTTGTGCCTGGACACGCAAGGCGATCCCAGTTGGCCAAGACTTGCTCCGCCACTTTGTTGGGCATTCGCCATTCGCCATTCAACATTCGGCATTCGGCACCGAATTGCCAAAGTTTCACGCAGCAGTAAATTCTGGAAAATTGCATGTGAGCTGCTGCTGCTTCTGCTTCTGCTGCTGCAACTTTCCTCAGTGGTCACACGAAAATTTATTATTAAAATTCACTCCACTCCACCATAAAGGCGAACCGGAGACGAGAGCCACTTGAGCAGAACATTGAATCTCATTTGACAATTCCGTCCTTCTATTTGTTTTGTGTTTCTTTCCCTGGCCCGTTCTGTGTTTTGCATAATTCGAAGCAAAGTAACTCCAACAGAGTGGAACGATAGAGGAAACCTTGGAGGGGCCGAGGGGCGGAAGTGGGTGGGAAATGAGGAAATGGGGAAGGGCGTTGGTCAGCTGTGTGACACGAATCAAACAAAAGCGTCAACTTTGCACAGAGCAAATGAAAGCGCAAAGCCGGAGTGCTGAGTGTCGAGGGGAGCGGAGCGGTTGCTTTGCTTACATTGCCAACAAAGTAGAAAATCCGTAAGAATAACACAAAATTCTCGGCTCCTTTTCTCTGTCGCCCGTTGGCTCTGTGTTTTTGGACCCGCTCCCTGTTCTTCGATTATCCTGCGACATCTTTCCTGGTGATTGTGGCACCTGAAAGCGAAAAGGGGAACGGGGAATGGGTGGGCATGTGGCACAGACAAAGTAAGCGCCCCAAGCTGCAGTTTCCAGTTGCCTCGGCACTGGGAGAAATTAACATAAATAAGTATCGATTTTTCAATATCATGTTTACTTTTGTTTGTTAATTTTTTTTAACATTCAGTTTATTAATATAATTTTAGTGTTTGTCTGATTGAAAACTGTCAACTAGAGGCTATATTCAGATCGAATTTCCCACAGAATAATGCAACAATAGACTCCATCGTAAAATTAACATCACATTGAGAAAACGAACCATTAAGCTAACTTTGTCTGCCAGATAAAAAGAACAACTTTAACCGGACAATGAGTAATCGGGCCTAAATGGTTAAAATATTGTTATATATTTAGCTTTGCTAATAATAGTCTTGACCTGTTAAGAAGACCTGTTAAGAAGAATTCTCGAGACCTACATTCTAGCACACCCTTTATCGCAGTGTCGTTTTCCCGCTCTGTTGCTGCTTCATCAGTGGCAATTGTTTAGCTGCGCTTTTTTGGCCATTGGATTCATTTGAAATTTATGCAAATTAAGTGCGGCGCACAGCAGCAGCGGCAGTAGAAGCAAGAGCAGCGCTGCGCAGAGTGCAGTTGCATAATCCTTGGAGCGCAAAGGATTTACACTTTTGCTTTTGCCAGATAATTATCTTAATTGCAATTTTCGCTGCTCTCTCGACTCGACTTCCTGCCGGCTAAACGGAAAATTTACAATTTAATTAAAGCTACGCAAAATGTTGCCAGCTAAACCAATTAGTCTCTCGGTGTGTGAGTGTAGTTAGCATAACAAATTAAATGGCAATTAATTTGGGAACGCTTTCCGAAAACATTAATAAATGCAGGCCCCATTCATTATTTTGCAACCTGCACTTGCCGACCGAAACTTTCATTATTTGCCATCGGTTTGCCGTTTCCCGTCTCCACATTTCCTCCTCGGCTGCAGG